TCGCAGGAAAACCTCACCTCCATGCTGGGGCGCACCGCCTGAAGACGGGTGTGCTCCAGCGAGCGAGGGGAGGGCCAGGCTGCAGGCAAGGCGCCACATGATGGCGAGGCCTGGCGGGCGGCGCGAGCGATGAGCCAAAAGCTGCATGTCAGCACGCATCCTCAGATACCCCTGCATGCTCATGTACATTGCAACAATCACTCCCCCTGCAAGATGACGGGTGTCCCTACACCAGGTAGCTTGCTCGTGCTGCTGCCAAAACTGACATGATATGACAAGAAAGAGATACGACGCGAAGAGAGAAGAGATGCCTCTGAAGGCGCTTCCTCGGAGGGCTGAGGCAGGCTCTCTGAGGCACCTTCAATAGGGTTCCTGAGTGGCCCGACCCTTGTCTTTGCCTTTGTCAGCCCCTGGGGGCCCCGTCCCTGGGGTGACCTGGCCTGGCTGGTCAATCCACCCGCAGACAGCCACGGGATCGGCAACTGATGCAGCTTCCTCCTTTTTTGTTTCGAGAGTGGCCACCTGTGGCAGGTGGATGGTGCCCCCCGTGAGGTGCCCGAGGAGGGCCTGGATGTCGCCACGCAGTGCAGCAGCTTCGGTGTTTGCCGTCTGTTGCTGGGTGACGACGGTGGCAAGCCCTCGTTCCAAACCTGAAACGTGCTCCGTGAGTGTGGCCTGGGATGAGAGAACGCCCGCAAGCTGAACCTGCATGTTATCCACCGTGTTGGCAAGCAGCTCGTGCTGTTGTTCCATGTGTTGGATGCGGGTCGTGGCGGCATCTGGCAGTTTAGGGGCCGTTGCGAAGCGTTCGCCGAGGTGTTGAGTTCGCGAGATGCCACGCTGAATTCATCACCTGATGAGAGGATCTCGACGTCGTCAGCGTCGCCTGGTACCTCGGCGGCTGTGGCAGCGTCCCCTTCCGTGTGGCCCCCGCCTTCAGATGCCACCGTGCCAAGCTGCGGGTCATGACCACCTGATCCTTGGACGGCCGTCCGCTCGGCAGCTCCATCCGTGCCGTGCGGGGGTGCAGAGGAGCTGCGGCCTGGGGCGCCGTGTGATCTTGCGTGCGGCGTGGCGTCGCGTTTCCCACTGGAGGATCGGTGGCGCTTGGCTAAAGGCTCCTCCTTGGGGATCAGGAGCGGTGCGACGCCCTTGCCTTTGGGCGTGGCAGTCATGAGGTCGTGGAGGTAAGGGCTCTGGGCCGCTTTGGTGAGGAGTGTGCCAGTGGCGGGGCTGAAGCCGCCACCACGGGCTGGCGGCGTCACAGGCTCTGTGATAGTGGTAGGGGTGACAATGGTAACGTTGTCCCTCTTCGGCGCCACCTCAGCCAGCGGGGCCTCGGTGATGCTCCACGGGATGGGGCACCCTGCGACCTGTACCGTATATGTGGGTGGGGGACGATGGGCGCGCACTAAGGCAAACTGAGCCGAAGTGGCTGGGTCCCAGGCGGTGTGGTAGACCTCACAGTCCCATTTGACGGACGGGCCCGTGAGAGTCTTAGCGAGCTGGGTCAGCGTGGCGTGGCGTGCCGCAATGCCAGTGATGCGGTATCGCGTCTTGGCGAGGGTGGCTTCGCAGCCACGGATGCTGACGGCAGCAGCCTTGGCGGCGTCTGACCCTCGTGCAACACGGATCCCCAATAAGCCTGACTTGCCGTGCCTGACGACTCCAAGGGCCTTGAAATCCACCGACTTCTGGAACGCATCTGCCATCGTGATGGGCTGGTCCTCAGGGAACCACACGGTCTGGTACTTGTCTGCAGTGGGCTCGTCTGCACCTACGTTGCTGAGGTCGTAGGTGGCGCCGAGTTGCCCTGAACCCGCCAAGACCTTGTCAACCGCTTGAAGACTGACGCCGAAGGTGGCAGCCAGGGACCTCTTTCCGACGCCCGATCCAAACCTGCCTAGGCTTTTGCAGGGTTCGAGGATGGTGACGGCTTTAAAGTTGCCGTGGAAGAGGGCCTTGAAGGTGTCCTGGAGCTGACTATCGAGCTCCTGGCGGCGAGCGTCTTTCTTGGACTCCCTGTGCTTTTGGTTTTGGCGCGCCTTGTCCTGTGGAGCGGAGTCCCTTCGGAAAGGACCCTTGGCGCGTGGACCACCGTTCACGGGGGCACCTCCCGAGAACTGGTCCTCGAAGGCCTGATGCATGGAGGGGACTGCGGCGATGGCCTCGGTTTCATGTATGGTCACCCGAATCCAGCATACGTGGTCGGCAGGGATCGATGGTGGCGACGGCTACTTTTTCCGTGCAGGCGACTTCCTTGGTGCCCAGCTGGTACACGGTCACGGGGACGTGCGTGTGGACCACTTTGGGCGCCTTGGGGTGACGCTTCAGCACGGGGACGGCGAGCTCGGTACCGACGTAGTTATCGTTTTTTGGGCCCATGACAGCAATCGCAAGCTGACCCGTGGTACGCTTACCCTGCTCGAGGTGGTGTTGCAGCAGCCGTTCACCGCTCTCGTAGTCGTGGAGGCTGATACTGGGCTTGTACGTCTTGCCGTCGTCAAGTGATGCGGGTTCGGCAAGGACTGGGACCTTCCAGAAGGCCGGGTCCAAGGCAATGAATTGGGCGTCCGCAGCCTGAAGACGTGCGGACGCAGCTGGTGGGTGTGATGTGTCACCACCAATGCGCTTAGGCTTGCTGCGCTGGTGGTGATCCAGCGTGTAGCTGATCTGGTTGGCGGCACACATGCGGATCAAGGCACTGCCGAGCTTCTTTGTGTTGGTCTTGTGCATGTCGTACGTGGCCTGCAGCTCGTCCGCGTTCAGCTCGGCGAGCCCGTTGTATGCGGCCGTGGGGCGGTCAGACCCCGCTTGCTTGAAAGCTGCGATGCAGTCCTGCTTGCGTTGGAGGAGAGACCCTTCAGCAGCAGGACGTGAGCTCGGCGGCTGCTTGGAAGAGCGACGGCGCTCCGGCTTACCGGGGGCCATTGCGGCGGGCGCTCTGGTGGGGAGAGAGGTGACGCGAATCAGTAGGGTCCTGCTGGGACCCCTCCGGTCTCGCGAGGCCTGGGAGTCTGACTCCGAGGCGGGGCGCTTCGCGTCGCGGCTGCGGTCTGAGTGCAGGGCACTCTCGAGCCGAGACTGCCCAGTTTTTTGGAGAGGGGGAGCGGGGGGGGGGTTCGAACCCGTAGTGACCCCCCCCCTCGGTTTTCTGCAGGGAGGGGGGGTTCGAGCCTTTGAACCGGTAATGACCCCCCCCCAGTTTTCCGGAGAGGGGGGAGGGGGTTAGGGGGGGGGGGCTGCCGGGGGAAGGGGGGGGTCTAGCAGGGGGGGGGGGGGGATTTCGAAGGGGGGGGACCCCGGGGTTCCGGAGGAAGAGGGGGGGGAATTTTCCACAGTCAAGCGGCGGTGGATCACGCTCTCTCACATATAACGGCATGGGTGCATATATATATATATATATATATACACGCATGTGTGTATGTATATAGATAGGTATGTAGGTATGTATATGAATGTGTATGTGTATGGGTGTATGGGTGTATGTATGTATGCATGTACGTATGCATGTATGTATTCACGTATGTATGTATGCATTATGTGTGCGAATGTATGCATGTGCGCTGTTCTGCGTGTGTCCAGATACATGTATGTGTGCATGCATGCGTGTAGGATTACATGGTTGTATGTTTACAGTCATGTATATATGCAAGTGTACATGCATGTATGTATGTATGCGAGTATGTAGGTATGCGTGCATGCATAGCTGTATGTACTCATGCATGTATGTATGCACGTACTTATATATAAGTATATATATACACATATATGTATGGATGTGATCATGCATGTATGTATACTTGTGTGCATGTATGTATGTATGCGTCCCATGCAGTCATGTATGAATGCCTGTGCATACGTATGTACGTGTGTGAATGTATGCATTCATGCATGTGTGTACGTATGCATGCATGTGTGTTTTTGTGTATGTATGTATGGATGGATGGATGCCCGGATGTATGTATGCAACGGTGTGTGAATATGTGTAGGCTTGCGCTGCTGTGTCCGTACATCCGTGTATGTATGTATGTATGTGTGTATGTATGTATGTATGTATGTATGTACGTATTCATGTATGTATAATGCGCGGATGTATGTATGTATGTATGTATGTGTGTACCTGTGAATGTGTGAATGTGTGCGTGTATGTGCGCAGTCATAGATGTATGTATGTCTGCGTGCATGCATGTATGTACGTCCGAGTCCCATGCGTTCATGCATGTCTACATTGTGTACGTATGTACGTATGGGTGTGTATGTATGTGTGTGCGTGCATGTGTGTTTGTATGCATGGTTGTATGTGTGGATGTATGTATGTATGTATGCGTGTATGTACGTATGAACGTATGTATGCATGGATGTATAACCGTGTATGTGTATGCATGTATGTATGCATGCTTGTGGGTATTGGTGTACGCGTGTGTGAATGTATGTATATATGTATGCATGCATGCATGTAGGTATGTAGGTGTGTGTATGGGTGTATATATTTATGTATGTATGTATGTATGTATGTATGTGTTTATGTATGTATGTATGTATGCATGTATGTGTGTGCCGATAGGTAGGGCGTTAGGCAGGTAATTATGGATGATCGTATGTGTATATGCATATAGTTGTGCATGCATGTGTGCATGAAGGTATGTAAGCATGCTTGCATGTATACATGTATTGTTGGATGGATGTAAACCCGCGTGCGAGTGTATGTGTATGTATATACAAAAGGTGATCAGCATAGAGGGACCGCTAATGATAGATAGAGAAACGGACGGACAGAGAGACAGACATATTGAGAGAGAGACAGACAGACAGACAGACAGACAGACAGACAGGCAGGCAGACAGACTGACAGACCGACATATAGACATACAGACAGACATACAGACAGACAGACAGACGGAGACAGAGACAGAGACAGGCAGCCAGGCAGACAGAGCGAGAATGAAAACAGTGGCCGCCCTGCCGGGGGCACGGGGTGTTCGTCTCGTGCTGTGTGCAGGTCGAGGAGAAACTCAACGTCGCTGTGGTGAGGATGGGCTGCACGGACCGCGGCGATCTCACCACTCCACGAACCTGGGGGCGGGCATACAGAGGAGAGGGATGCGGCGAAGGAGGATGAGGATCAACCGTTGAGGCAATGTATGTTCATGGCATGATTGGGGACTCCTGGGCCGTCCATCGAATGGATATACCTACAAATCCTAATACGCTCCAGGACTGGGCAGGCCAACGGGTTGTCCTTGGACCTGGCCAGAGCACGCCTCGCATTTACTGTATTCTGCCCCATGGCCCCAGGAGTGGCAGGGCCAACAATTCCCCTTTTCCCCGCCCCTCCCCCTCTTCCCTTTGCATTGTCCTCCCGTCCTCCCCCTCCCCCTCCCCCTCCTCCTCCTCCTCCTCCTCCTCCTCCTCCTCCTCCTCCTCCTCCTCTTCCTCCTCCTCCTCGTCCTCCTCGTCCTCCTCCTCCTCCTCCTCCTCCTCCTCCTCCTCCTCCTCCTCCTCCTCCTCCTCCTCCCCCTCCTCCCCCTCCTCCTCCTTACCCTCCCTCCTCTTCCTCCTCTCTCCTCCCTCCCCCTCCTGTCCTCCTGTTCCCTCGGCGGTCAGCCTCCCCCCCCCCCTCCTCCCCCGCGCTCCCGCCTGGTGGAGCGGCGGGGCCAGCGCGCTGCGAGGACGGAATGGTGACGAAAGAGAATTTCATGCGGATATTCGACTGCAGCAACGACGAGCACAGCATCGCGCAGTTCATTCGCCTGCGGGGGGGCGGCGGGGGCGCCGGGCCCTCGTGAGGAGGAGGAGGAGGAGGAGGAGGAGGAGGAGGAGGAGGAGGAAGAGGAGAGGAGAGGAGGAGGTGGTGAAGAGGAGGAGGTGAGAGAGGAGAGGAGGAGGATGAGGAGGAGGAGGAGGAGGAGGAGGAGGAGGAGGAGGACATGCAATTGTGGCCGAAGGTGGAGGAGCAGAAGGGGATGGGGAGGGAATGAGAGCGATGAAGGAGTTTTGCTGTGAACCGCTGCAGGCTGTGCCCGAAGGGGAAGGAGGAGGAAGAGAGGAAGGCACAGTAGGCGCGGGGGAGGGTGATGTAGGAGAACGGCGAACGGAAACGGCGACCGCATTGAGGAGGAGGAGGAGGAGGAGGAGGAGAAGAACAATAAAGTATGGGGCTGGACAAGGATTGCAAGGAGGTGGAGGAGACGGGTGGTTGGAAGATGAGAAGGAAGGAGCGGCCGCTCGGCGAAGGCTGGAGGCGCGGCGACCACATTCTACATACATCAAGCCGCCGTTGGGATGCCCCTCCGCGCCAACGCAGCGTGCCGACGGCGGCATACCCAGGTGCAAAGATGGAGCGGCCGATTGCTCAGGCCGAAATGTGTACGAGGAATGTGTGTGAGGAGAGCCGAGATGTGGCCGATGGCAGTCTAGGTGTCGGCTTAAAACTTGCCGAACCAGCGGCAAACAGGGAGACCAGGATCCCCGGCGGCGACCCGAGACGGGTGGCCAGGGGCTTCCGCTTGCCGCCTCAAGGGGGTGGCAACGTCGCTGCCACCCTGGACATGTCTGCGCTAGCAGAGGCCGCCATGGTCATTTGCCCCGATGATGCTAAGCCCACGCGTGATGTGCAACGCCGCCGCTTGCGCCGCCCGTGGTGGGCAATTGCGGGAGGGAGGCCTGACGACGCGCGGCAGAAGGGCGTTAGCCAGCACCCGCGCTCTCTCCGCCCAGTTGTCATATGGCACCCGTCGATGGCGCCCTTAGTGTCCACCGCCATCCCCATCAAGAGGCTCCGCACTATCTCCAGCTCAGCCGCGCAGTTTGGTGCGGCGATTCGAGCCCTTCGTGAAACAGCAACTCCTCAGGACTGCGTTCCCCTCCTCAGGATGGGCCCGTAAGCCCAAAGCTGCACCCCGTCCTCAGGAGTAATTTCCCTTTCCGTAGGAAGAGGCTTCCCCAGAGAGCCCTCCATGGAGCCCCATATCGGCAGGGCGTTCCCCCTCCGCAGGCAGTGCGCCCCCCAGAAAGAACACAGTTTGGTGTTCCCATGCCCCTCCTGGAGCACTTCCCCAGGAATGTGCTCTTCAGGAGGGGATCGCTGGGACAACATCATGGACCCCCCCGCCCTCAGGAGGGGGGGTCCCTTCATCAGGAGGCAGTTTCCCGTACGGTCGGTCCGAGGTATAAGATCGAGGTCGATTCGGGGAGGGTACCTTCATGTTCTTCGTGCTTGTTGGATGTATTTGTGTACGTATCCTGGGGGAGGGCATCCTCGATTTTTCCAGTTTGGGCAAGCGGAGGGTCTCATGTTCTTGAAGGATGCTCTTTGTCATTCGCCCGCCCACCAAACCACCCCAATCCAACCCGAACGCCCCAATTTGCCCTCCATTCCCAGTGGGGGGGGGTCGGGGAACATCAAAGAACACGCAGATGGAACCCGTGCCCCCCCAGGCTGAAATTCGGGTCTTCGGGTTGGATCGGGGCGGTTCGGTAGCCCGGGTCCGACTGTAGCAGTCATGGCCTCAGGAGTGGCGTCAGGGATCTTCTAGGGGGCCACGTGCGAACCCTACCCCTACCCCCCACGATTTCTGAGGGGGAGGGTGGGGTTCACTTCGACCAGGAGCTCCCGAGCGAAGTGAACCCCACCCTCCCTCTCAGAAATCGTGGGGGGTAGGGGTAGGGTTCGCACGTGGCCCCCTATCTTCCCTTCCTCAAGGGAGGCGTCTCGCCCTCCCGCTCGCGCGCCCGCGCCGTGGAGTGGCCCCCCAGTGCCGCACTGCGCTGGCCGAGTCCCGCTGCCGGGCGGCAGCCCACGGAGTGGCATCTCTCGGACGTGTGTTTTTTTTCTTCTCGGCCAGGACCCTCGAGGAGGATCTTCGATCATCCTGCGACAGCAACAAAAACGCACGACATCGAAACGGGCACGTGGAATGGGCGTCCGAGCGGTGGCAAGAGGAGAGGCATCTCCAAACCCCGCCCGCCGCCCCTCCCGCCCGCCGCCCGCGTGCACGACCCGCGGATTGCGTCCGAGGAGGGGTTCAGGAGGGGCTGCACGGAGAAAGCATTCTTGAGGAGGATCGGCGGCGAGCAAGGGGGGGAAGTGAGAAGGGGCGGGCCTTCTCAGAAGGCTCGGAAGTCCCGGGGCCTTCTGAGAAGTTTTCTAAGCCTTCACCGAAAACATTATGTATATACAAACTTCTCAGAAGGCGCGAGGGCTTCTGAGAAGTCCCGCCGCCTTCTGAGAAGGCCTCCTCCTTCTCATTTCCCCCCCTCGCTCGCCGCCGAGAGGTGGGCGGAGCCGTGTGTGAGGAGGAAGCCCAGCAGGGGTGTCAAAGAAGCACTGGGCAGTTCTCCCTGCTGGGGAAAGGGGGAAGTCCCCCCCTGAGAAGAGGTTCCGGGAGCGGCTCTCCGAGAGACTCTCTCCGAGGAGCGGACTGCCCTTCCTGAGGAGTGGGAGGAGCTCCAGGCTAAGATCTCCAGGAGCTCCCGGCTAAATTCTCCAGGAGGAGCTCCAGGCTAAATTCTCGAGGAGGAGCTCCAGGCTAAATTCTCCAGAGCTCCAGGCTCTTGTGCACCGGGACAGCCGCTCCCGAGGAAAGGGCAACTCCTTCCCAGGAGGGGCTCCAGGCCAAATTTCGGAGAGCAGGCGCCCGCTCGGAGGCGAGGAAGGCTCTCTTCCCCAGGGGGGGGCGCTCCCAGGACGGGGGCCGGGGAACTGCCTCGCCTTGGCTGCCACGGTGCGCCCGTGTCGAGACGCAACACGCACCGTGCTCCGAGCGTCCGTGTTGGCGCGCCGCGCGTGGGCTCCGCACGTGCTGGGCCACGTTCCGGCGAACGTGTCGCGCCAGAGCCGCGGCTTCGATCCGCGCGTTGGCCTCCGCGTCGCAGCAGCACAGACAACCCGCACAGCAAGGATGGGCAACCTTCTCAAGGGTACCCTTGCATCCTTGCCTCTTCGGTCATCTTCGGCCCATCCTCAACCACTCTCGAGGGCCAGCCCCGCTCGACGAGCCTCGGCATGGGCGTCCGAGGCCCCTGCATCCTTACCGCGCATCCTTCCCCTACGGGCTGACCGTACGCTGCGTGCTGCGTGCTGCGTGCTTGCGTGCCCGGGCAGCTGAGCCTCGCACGCCGGCGGCGCTCCGCCGAGGCACGGGCCCTCCCGCCCTCCAGAGCGCCGCGCGGCCCGGCCGCCTCCCCTCCGAGCGGCGGGGAGGCTGCTGCCGCCAGCGCTGCGCGGCCCGGCTGGAAAGCTGCAGCTCCTCCGGCGGCCTGCGGCGCGGCGGGGGGCTCCCTCGGCGCCGCGCGGCGTGCGGCACGCGGCCGCGCCGCTGGCGCGCGAGGGGCCCACAGGCCGGCGAAGCCGGGACGAGGCCGAGGTCGGGCGAGGAGAGATCGAGGGTATACCTGAGACGCGGCGGGGTTCTGGAAGAGGTGTGGGGGGCGCCGCGGCCTCCTCAGAGCGTTGCGGAACACTCCCCGAGCGTTCCGGAACGCTCTGGCACGGACCCATCCGCGTCCGATGGCCCCGTCCTCGACGGCGGGGCCGCCCCGCGGGCGTCCGGCCAGCGCGTGCGCCAGCGGCGCGGGGCCGGCGTCGCCGCGGCGAACGGAGGCCCGAGCGGCCAAGGAGCAGGAGCCCCGCAGCACGGAGGGGCGACCCGGATGCCTCAGGAGAGGGGAGGAGGAGGAGGAGGGAGGAGGAGGAGGAGGAGGAGGAGGAGGAGGAGGAGGAGGAGGAGGAGGAGGACTAGGAGGAGGAGGAGGAGGTGGTGGACGATGACGAGCACGAGGACAAGGACGAGGAGGTGGCGGGGGAGGGGGTGTAGCATAGCAAGCGGGAGAGGAGGAGCGGGAGATGGGGGAGAAAAAGGAGGCGAAGGAGGAGGAGACGGGAGGGTACTTTGGTGATGGTGAGGATGCTGGGCGCGGTGGCGACGGTGGTGGTGATGGTGGTGATGGTGATGGTGGTGGTGGTGATGATGACGATGATGATGATGATGTTGATGATGACGACGATGATGATGGTGATGATGATGATGCTGACGATGACGATGGAGATGACGATGACGATGACGATGCTGCTGCTTCTGCTGCTGCTGCTGCTGCTGCTGCTGCTGATGATGATGATGATGATGATGATGATGATGATGATGATGATGATGACGAGGGGAAGAGTAAATGAGGATGCGGAGGAGGAAGGCGACGACGACGAGGGGAAGTCAGAGGTGAAATATAAGCAGCAACCTGATGGCGAACAGGATGAGGATGAAGAGGTGGAGGAGGACGACGACGAGAGGAAGTCAGAAGAGGAAGATATGCAGCAGCAGGATGGCGAACAAGATGAGGATGAAGAGGCCGGACGAGGAATTCCTTTTGTCAGCCTGTTTGTCTGAATAGGGCGCGAGCTGGTTCGAGCGATCAGACACCACCGCCCTTCCCCTGTCCTTTTCCCATCGCCTCAGCCTCCCTCTCCCCTTCCCTGCCCCTCTCCCTCTCCCTCCCCGCCCCCTTCCTCTCCCCCCCGATCCCCCTCCTCTCCCTTCCTCGTCTTCCTTCAGACGTGCGCTCAAAACGGGCGAGGGCGGGTGTGGCGCAAGGTTATTTGGTGACGTCGGGGTCGACCTCATCGGCCTTCTCGACTTCTCTGATTTCATATTCCACGACGAGCTCCTCGACGAGGACAGGAGGGAGAAGGAGGATGAGAGTTGAAGAGGAGGGCGACGAGGAGGAGGAGGAGGAGGAGGAGGAGAAGGAGGAGGAGGAGGAGGAGGAGGAGTGGGAGGGAAGCCGAAGGAGGAGAGTCTTTTCTGGGGGTGGATTCACCTTCAAGGCAGCTGCCCTACACGCGTGCTAAGGACCTGCCGAAGGCACATCGTGTTGATAAATGCTCAAGCTCGGCGACGCCACTTCACAGCGCCGTCGAGAGAAAGCACGCCAGGGCGCCTGGCACGAAACCAAAGCTAAGGCCGCCTGGCTGCCGACGGCGGTGTCCTGGATGCGCCGAGAGGCGCCGTGCTTGCCGCAGCTTCCTTAGAAAACACGGTCACCCGCAGCATCGTCTAGCTCCGCGGGCCACTCGCGTGCAGCGTGCCGCGTCGGCGGCCTCTCTCTGAGGCGTACTCGGTCGGTCCTCGACCCAGGAGCGATACGGTACAGTCGGCCCGGATTAGCAGGTCGACCCTGCCACATCAAGGGTACTCTTGTGTCCTGTGTCTCGCGACCCATGCTTCCTACATTCCTGTGGCAATGTGGCCCTCGGAAGGGTCTTGTGTCCTCTCGCGTGTCCTGTCCAACCAAGTCCGACTGCACATAAGGAGTGATACGGTACATAGTTTTGTCAGCCTCCCGGAGCCGAAAGATGCGTGCACGGTACCGCGTTGGAGCGGGGCTTGAATTGAGAGCCCAAACGTGGCATGTTGTCCTCGATGTTGCCGCCTCGAAGAAACTGCCTGTCTGTCGCCATCCACTCGACCAGGCGTAAGAGTGACCCTTCGCCGGAGTGACCGTTGGTGCGGGCTCACCGGGGTCCCCCCGAACGCTGCGCGCGATGCAACAGTGGCTGCTTGCGCGCTTGGATTTGGCCACCTTGCGCCCCCGTGATCCGCGCACGAAAGGTCACTCCTGCCTACGGTCACTCCTGCGTGCAGGCGATCCACAGCCGCATCACGGCCACACCCAACGGCCGAGGCAGAGGCTGCAGGCGCAGAAAGCGTGGACCAACTGCAGGCGAGGAGGAGCGGCGAGCGAGCCCACAGCAGCGGACGGCCACCAGGTGTTCGTCGGAAGGGCGTGGGCGACGGGCTCTTGCTGCAGGTGCGGCGCCGGCGGGCCGCGGGAAAGCCCAGGCGAGCCGCGCGGTTCGCCCGTTGCACCGCAAGCAGCGGTCGGTCTTGGCCTGGCTCCGTGCCCGCGCGGCCGTGGCGGAGCGCTGTTGCCGCCGCGGCGGGAAAAAGAAGCCGCCGTGCGGCGGATCCGCTCACGGCCAGTTGGGTGCCGCTCCGGTTGCGCACTGGGCGTGAGCGCGCTCCCTACAGCCAGCGCGGATAGTAAGGGTGAGCGCATTTCCGAAGTTACTCTTGCATCCTTCCCCTTCGGTCCATCCTTGGCCACTTTCGCTGGCCGCGCCCCGCTCGAAAAGTTCCAGCATGACCTCGCAAGGCCCTCGCACCCTTGTCGTGCATCCTTACTCCACGCGTGGACCTGTACACCGAGCAGACGCGCCAGCTCGAGCAGGAGACGCCAGCACCCGAGCTACACGCCCGGGTCGTGGTGGGGAGCAGCTCGCCCGCTCAGGAGCTGACTCTATGTGGTCAGCCCTCGATCGTCGTGAGGAAAAAACAAAAAACAAAAACAAAAAGCAAAAAGAAAAAAGCTCGCCCGCTCAGGCATTTTGCCGCGCCCGCCGCCGCTCGAGCGCACGCGGCGCAGGGCAGCCCCAGCCGTGCCGTGGCGGCCGCACACGGGCGCACGTCGCGGGCGCACGGCAGGGAGAGGGCGTCGGACCGCGGTGGCGCAGCCCCCCCGCGCTGCACCGCACGTCGGGCAGGGCGAAGGCCGCGCTCGCTCGGGTGGCGGCGGCTCCCAGCCGGCGGGTGCGCGCGCCAACGCCTCGCCGATGTCCATGGCCCTGGCAACCTTCCGGAGGGGAAAAAACACACAGGCACAATGAATCGTCGATTCCCCAGAAGATATGGGAAAATATGGGAAGTGGGGGGGAAGACAAAAAACCCAGAAAATATTGAAAGTATAGGGGAATCTGGTTATTTGTGTCTACTATTCAAATTGTGTGTCCCAGGACCCCTTCAAACCCAGCAGGCGACGTCGGCAGCCGTACGCCTCCCCAGAATCATCATCTAGTCGCGAGGGTGCGGTATAGCTCCTGTAGCGGAGAGTGCCCGCGGCCTCGGCTGCTCGGGCCGGCGCACCGTCGCAGCCGCCAAGCCGAGCTGCACTGGTGATGCGCCCCTCGAGGACGTATTTCTCAGGAGGGAAAGAGACACACAGACACAATCAATCGTCGATTCCCAAGAAAATAGCGGAAAATATGGGAAGTGGGGGGAAGACAAGATCCCAGAAACTATGGGAACATATGGGGAATCCTGTTATTTGTGTGTATTTATTTGTGTGTCTCAGGGCCCCTTCAGTGATGCGCCCCTCGAGGACGTACTTCAAGAGAGCGTGTGCCGATTCCGCCCTTCTGGATCTACTGACCCTCGATCCCAGACGACGTTTCCATGGACATTTGAGAGGGCGGGGTCATGGACCATCGTCAGTGTTGCCCAGCTCGCTCGCGCGGGCAGAAGCCTTGGGGAAGTCGAGCTGCTGTTTAGATGCGCCTTGCCATGCAGGAGCGGCCCCCTCGCGCTTGGTTTCGATGGTGGCGTTCGGCGGCGGAGAACGCCCCTCCAGATCAGGCACGAGTCCGCGCTCACGCATGGCGTTCTGCTCCAGGCGGTCCAGGGGTGCCCGCCGCCGATCCTGGTCGACGACGTGCTGGGTGCCCGAAGTCCGTAGCGTGCTGGCGCCGATCGGCGTCGGAGGCGCTGCACACCTGCACGCCGGGTGTCGCACGGTGCCTTCTCCGGCCCAGGAGTAAGAGAAGAGGGAGAGGGATGTTGAGGCAGGTGGGGAAGAGAGGAGGGGTGGTAGGTGGCAAGGGGGAAGGAGCGTGAATGCAAAGGCTGTAGCAGGGGAGGGGGGAGGGGGGATAGGGGGAAATGGAGGAGGGGGAGGGGGGGGGCAGGAGGGGGAGGTCCGTGGGAGGCAATGACAATCAGAGACGAATCGCCGCGGCACACTTGCGGCGCCTCGCAACACAGGGCACGCGTGCGGCCGAGAAGCACGCAAGACAGTTTGCCATTCGGCCAAGAGGGCCAGCTCGTGCGCGGTCGACGGGTATGCACCCAAGATGAGGTCAACTGCCCCGTGGAAGGGGGGGAAGGAGAAGAAGAGGAGGAGGAGGAGGAAGACGGACGGAGGGAGGGAGGTAGGAGAAGGAGGAAGAGGAGGAGGAGGAATACCATAATAAATCCAAGACGCATCAAGGATGCTGCAGTACATTTTCCCTCCAGGTTCCCTCTTCGTAGGGCCCTTTAGGATTTTGCATTGCGGGGCATGCCGCATTGGAAAACAATCGTTTGAGAATCCGCCACCGTACCAACAAACAAATTCGGGATTTCACTGTCGCGAATGAAGGTGATTGTTGCGTCTTGACAGCCCTGAATCATGCAATCCTGGGACCGCGAATCAACGTGATCGCTGCGGCCTGACAGCTTTTATTGTGGCCAGAGCACCATTCGTAGGACTCCGACCATGTGAACACTTGAAGCGGTTGAGAACTTGCAAAACGGATGTGCGAAGCGTTAAAGCGATATTCACGTTGATCAAGAATCGCCTTTCATCATCCATGCAACTCTGGCAGATTGTGAGTACGAGTGCGCGCGGCGTAAAGCGGAGCACCAGTTTGAAAACCGCCCGCCCTCCGTTTTGAAGATGTTGCATACCGTTAAGACTAACGTGCAGGGAGCTCAGGCGAGCACCGCATTTTGAAAGCCACCCGCCCTGCATCCGTAAAATTGTTGCAGATGTTTACAACGAATGCGCGCGGCGCCAGGGCGGGAGTCAAGTAATACACGCCTTCCATCCGTGAGATTGTTTCAAATTTCAAGTTCTGGGATCATGCATAGTGAGGAAGTTTCAGTCGAAACGCCCAGCCATTTTAAGGGTATGTCCAAAATGGGGGACATAAGTTCAGTTGGGTCCGCTGTCGCCGTGGCTCTTGGCAGCCCCGCCCGATCTGCCAGTGTGGACGGCGCTGCGGGTAGTTTCGTTCTGCCCATCGTCATCTCCCACGTCCCTCCCAGTCTACAGACATGACACAGTCATCCCTTGAACACTTAGATCGAGTTTGGTAGTGGAGCTGCTGCAGCCGTGGCAGCTCTGGTCACCACCTCCCTAGCATACGATTTGCACAGTGGCGAATACCCGCGGAACTTCGGCAACAAGAGCAACGCTGGCAATTTCAAGTTCGACCGCCATGTGGGCACCGACCTACCCCAGCGCTACCATTGCGCCCACTTCCCCGACCATATGGACTTCCAACGCGCGAGGCTTTTCGACCGACAAGAAGAAGGCCTTCCTCTCCTCCAGCACTACGGCAAGCGCGCGAGGAACCTCGACCGCAACTACGACGCCGTCTACCTCCACCTCTCTGTCTACGCCACGCGCGCGAGGGACCTCGACCGCAACTGCGACGCTATCGATTTCCACCTCGCCGAGCACCCTCGACCGCTACGGCGACGCCTACGTCACCACTACTTCTCAATTACGACCTCATCCACCCTCGCTCGTGGAGACGCGAGGGACCCCTTCATCTCCGACCTACAGGGCCGCCGTCTCGCGAACCTTTCTCTGTCTCCAGCCGCTCGTGGTGACGCGACGGGCACGATCGCTACTTCCAGAAATACGTCGGCTTTTACCTTCTTCAACGGGATCCATGCCCTGGAGATGGCGCTGCATGGCCTGCTCGCGGCGGCCGTTGGAGCTATCATTGGTCATGTGTGGCGCGAGGGAGATGGCGATCAGACGCGAGGTCCCACTTCTGACCCTGCTCGGCCAGTCCCGCACAGGGCGTGGATCCACGAGGCGCACGCATGGCCATGCGCCCATTCAGGACGAAT